CACTGAGGCCAAAGTCGAGGTAGTGTCAAATCAATAATATGAAAGAGATCAGAAAGAAGAGAGAACAAAAATATCTCAAAACTTATACTGGGTGCATTAGATTAATTCACCGCGAGCAATACAGGCCTATTTGGCCTCTTGTTCTGACAACGGGCTAACCAGAAGTGACTTTGGAAACACCGTTAAAATTAAAGCTATTTTTATAAATCTTTATAGAAGAAATGTTAAACTAAATTACTTGATCTAGACATTTTATAATTTTGCTTTAGAAAACGAGATATCATTAACATTATTTCTGAAATGCCATTTGAAATATATAGCAAATAAAGGGTGGTCAGGTGGTGCAGTGGATAGTGCGCCCGTCTGTCACCAAGGCGGCTGGGAATCGATTCCCCGATCAGTCTTGAAAAAGTGTTTGGTCACCTACCCGGCTACACGGTTTAATCTGGGTGCTCCAATTTCCTCCCACATTAAGACCCCCTGCGCGCTTCCATCCCAGGCGACAAGGCGATTGATATAACTTGATTCATAATTGTTGCAAACTCAAGTTTTTGTTTAAATAAATTGTTCACCTAAAGCAAACGCGCGTGCGCGGCACGATATGCCCCCAATAACTACACATGGAAAAAGTTTTAGGACCCAAATGTTACAACAAGATCAATTTGGGTTGTTCCAATGTCCCCCGATACTGATCAGGAAGGTTCCCCGCATAAGTCGCCTCATACAATTGGAAGGTACATGTCATACCCACACATGTCTTTTGAGGGTTCCTGCACAAGTTATTTTATGGTTAAAAGTTCTCATACCTTCAAGTCATAATACATATAGATCTCTACCACATAAAATACTAGTATAACAGTTCATAAGTTAAGACCAGACAATAGTTGCAACACTTTGACCTGTCGGATACAAGAGTGTGGATATGCAACACAATTTAGTCATAATAAGAATATCTAGAAAGATTCATAAGTTATGTACCCCATACGTATGCTCAGATCTGACTGTCAGGACAAATATATATCGTGATTATTATTGCCGTGACCTTGACATTGGGGGTGGGGTGGGGTGGGGTGGGGGAGGTGTATGGTTGTGTATTAAGTTGCTCAGAGGGCGATGGTCCGAGAAAGTGTTTCATTGATTTGATCTTTAGACTGTTCCTTAGAACTATTCTTGATTCAGATGATCGGTTCCTCCGAACAAGGATTGACTATCAAACATGATATACCCAATAGATATCGATGTGTGCAAAATGAGAAACCCTGATGCACACCAATGTTACCTTTGGTTTGAACATAGACGGACCTTGAAAGTGTCCATTCTTGCCAATCGCGGAAACAATACCGTATACCATCCTTTTACCGGTGGTACTTGTGGTGCTATCTATCGGGTACATATGAATGTGTGTAACACATATACATGTATGTGGTCACTCAGAAACTCCTATAAAACGATGACCCAACATCAGGGGGCTGCACCTAAGGAACTCGGAAGGCCGACATGGCCCGTCATCTTTAGTCTTAACTAAATGACAAGTTAATTAATCACATGTATGAACTAACAGCTGAATATCGTGTTTTGATACCACAAGCAGGTGTTCAAGTATGTACTTTATACAGTATGAAGTAGAAGGTATGGTTCTACCAGGACGTTATCACTGGTTTACTGGCATTGTGCAGGACAATCCAAATATTTGACAGATGGTCACTCAAAATATCAGCAAAATCAATTCGTGGGAAACAAGTTGAATAAATAGTTGTCACAGCAACAGGAAATGTGTTTAATACCTTAAGTCCTGATAGGGAACAGTTACGTAACCGATACCATGGATGTACAGATTAACAGGGCACATGCACTAAACAAGACGTGCACAATAAACGACGCAGAGAAGGTTAATAAATACCGTCCACTCCCGGTCGTCTCCCAGGGGATTAAACGTTGTTTTTTCTAGTTCTTTTAATCCAAATATTTGGATTTTTTTCTCTCGCTTCTAAAAGGATTTTTTCGGTTGATAAAAAAGTGTATAGTACGCCAATGTTTTGAAACAGGTTTTCAGTTAATATTACCTGAAGTAAACGAACTATCTCTCTTTTTAAAAGTATTAAATGTTAAAGCTAGCTTTGTACCTTTTTAATATGTACATGTATCTTTAAGAAAATGAGATATTTCCCTTTACTACCCATAGGTGATATCACTTGATGTAGGAATAAAGGAGCGATGTCTAGAGCGTAAATGAGCATTGACTGGATATCGAGGATTGACGAATGGTGATCACCCATTGAATGTTTGATATAGGTGCCTACTGATTATCTCAGCGTCCCAAGGGCGACTCCCACCACCCCTTACCCCTTCTCTCCTTTTTAAGCTAAAGGCATATGCCCTTAATATAACCATCATCATTTTAACTGAACCTCGCTCCGCATTGTAGCTAAAATCAGCTACCACAACGTCAGATATAAAAAAAAGTTCGCTTCAATAAATAAATATGGAACTGAGAATGTGTTACCGTGCGTATGTTTGGACCTATTCTGGTGTGTAGAGAGCAGATCTAGAGACGCTAACGTGTTAGGCTAACGTCACTGTACCCAAATCGGGACACTTTTTAGATAACTATGAATTTCTTTACTCCATACTATCAGATCCAAAAATGTTTGTTAATTTTTCATAAATAAATACTATCCACTTTTTCCCTATTACAAGTTGGTATTTCGGGTGCGTGGTTCTGTAAATAAAACGCGAAATACCACCAGGGTTACGTTGGCCCTTGAACCGGTGTGACTGTACCCTAAAAGGGACACTTCGGTATTTTGGCTAATATTTGGGAATAAACGATCAATATCAGCAGAAAAGAAGGCATATTTCAAATATTATACAGTCAAACAGGGTTATGATTAAATTTCTTCTCCAAACTAGCATTGGTTTGAATAAAATAGACTTTTGAAAATGATATCCAAAGCGAAATTTAAAGAACACTTTTGAGGAAATTGTATGTACAGCAGAGACAGTAGAAAAACTTGTATCCAAATTAAATGAAAATAAATCTCAAGGACCGGATATGATGCATCCCAAAGTTCTAAAAGAATTGAGAAAAACAAATCAGTACACCATTATCAGAAATCTTTAATCAACCATTTTGCGAAGAAAAATTACCAAAAGCATGAAAAAAAAGCAAACATAACGGCCATCTTCAAAAAAGGTTCAAAATAAGAGGCGGAAAACTATGGACCAGTCAGCGTGACCAGCGTAATTGGGAAATCTTAGATTAACTAGTTAGAGACAACATAGTAAAACACATGGATAAAAATGGTTAACTTAGCAATAGTCAGTTTGGTTTTGTCTCCGGTAGATCTACACAGTTACAACTGCTGACGGTCTCAGAAGAATGGACCGAAGTTATTGATAGGGAGGCAAATTAGATGTAATATACATGGACTTTATGGAAGCTTTCGATAAAGTCCCACATCAGCGGTTTATAAAGAAACTTGAAGGCTATGTAATACCGGCAACCAGGTCATCAACTGGATACAAGATATTTTGAACAACAGATGTCAACGAGTAATGGTTAATGGAGAATCATCACAGACATATCCAGTAGTAAGCGCTATCCCTCAAGGAAGTGTTCTTGGTCCTCTTTTGTTTGTAGTCTATATTAATGATTTACCTGAAATTCCAGAATCCCAATCTCCATTATTTGCAGACAATACGAAACTATAGAAGAAAGAAAATATTACATACCAGGACCATCAGGAGAACAAATAGAGCTGGAAAATATAACATCCGAGAAGGATATTGGTGTGACTGTTGATGAAAATTTAAGTTTTAGAACACATATCCAACTTTGTGTGAACAAGGCGAATAGCATATTGGGAGTCATTAGAATATCATTTACCTTTATGGATGATACACTATTTAAACTACTATTTAAGGCACTTGTAAGACAGCACTTGGAGTTTGCCTCGAGTGTATGGAGTCCGTATAAAACTAAAGATATTGAACTGATATAGAACGTCCAGAGGAGAGCAACAAAACAGAGGGGATATGATTAATGTCTACAAAATCTTAAATAACATTTATGATAAATGAGTCGCTACTAACTTGTTCCAGGTGAACACCAACAGTAAAACAAGGGGACATTCACCAAAAAATATTAAAAAAACGATGCCATTTGGATATAAGAAAAAACTTTTTTAGTTCCCGTGTCGTAGACAAGTGGAATAGTTTACCATAACATGTCACAGATGCAACTGATGTTAAACAATTTGAAATATTACTGGAAAATTATTGGAAACGAGAAAAATTAACATGCTCTGCTAGTTGATCGAATTGATTATTGGTTAAACGTAAAAATGCAATGCACACCAGAAGTAAACAAATCATTATTGTATATAATTAATTGATATGGATATAGAGGCTCACAGCCTGCATCCATTATTTTCGCATTAAATCGTATTAAATCAAATAAATAGCGTCGCACGGCACGTAAATCGGGAAAGTTTTGTTTTGGTCATTATTTTTACCTTTAAATTGTCCATGTATCGATAATCAACAGCCAATAAAGCTAACATACAGTTAAATTGTCATAAACGTATTATCAAATGAAAACTGTATACATAAAGTACTTATTTGCATTGAATGACAGCTTCTAGGGCCTTTTCCCCATAAGTGTCCCGTTTTGGGTACAGTGACGGTAGGCCTACCACATTCATTTAAATTCGGCTGTAATATAGATCTAACTGAAAAGTATAGTTAGTTAGATTCTGTACATATCAAAATAGGGATACGATAATGTATGTCGCTGATCAAACATACCCTAATGTAAGTCGATCGGAAGGACATGTAAAATATGACCTCCGTAATATGACACTCTTCATATTCCGAATGTTATTCCTATTCTTATAACAACTTGCTGTTTTTTTGCTCAGTAATTGTATTTATCTAAAAATATGTATGTATTTATTTTGTCGGTGACCCGGATATATCTCATTGTTACGATTATCTCTAAGGCCATGCATGTTCCACAGTTCATCGGCCTGCATGAACTGACCAATCGGCGTTCGGAAATATGTATCGAACGACAGGCCATGTGCCGAGGTACTCTAATGTCAACAATCAAGCATCACGATCGGCAAATCTGGTACGATGTTCGCCCAGGGAGCAGCGCTAGTTGTAACCATGGACAAGATTGTATTTGAGGTGGTATCTTACGTCTATGTGTTTTGGGCAGTTGTCGTATTTATATCGCTACAGTTTGTCAACGCGCCGTACGGACGTTACACACGAGGAGGATGGGGTCTGCAAATAAATGGAAAACTGGCTTGGTTTCTGCAGGAGATTCCGTCCATTCTAGTCCCATTGTACCTACTGCTTATTACAGACTCTCCTAGGATCTCGCACACACCTAACAGGATATTGCTATCATGTTTTATTATTCATTATTTACAGCGGTAAGTTAAACAACGATAAGAACTCTTTCGTGAAGGAGATAGTTAAATAGCTGGTTACATAAACAAACACCATGTGCTTACTATCATCTATCTGTCAAAAGGTTTATTAATATAATCATGAAACTATAGATGTGTTTACTTGTTATTGTCATCTATTCCTATTTGTCGTTGATATCCCCAAAGCGTTGTATTTAATAAGCTGAGGTGTAACACTCATCAACAGACGTTACGTACAATAAAAATACTTCTTTATAGTATAGATATGCCGGTATTAGTATTAGCATAACCAGAAGAAACTGTTCACTGGGCTGTGAACGCAATTGGATCAGTGGATCAGTGTCATTTTGAAGCTTCCCCCCACCCTTACCAGTGCGACTTGAAGACGCAAACATTTAGTCGACATTAGGATGTTCCAGGAATCTCGTATGCACTGACAGCATATATGTACATTGAAAAAAAATATCCTGTTCCATCCTTATTTAATATTCTAATCAAATAAAGAGACAGCTTACATATAATAAGTGCGCTCTACAAACATATGTATGCTATATATCTTATATTGACTTCTAGCACTGCAGGTTAAGGTAAAGGACTGGATATCTGCTGTATCCAACTTACATGTACATAGCCCGAGTTTCCTCTGACCCAGACTCTTAGGGACAATGGAGAAACCAAAATTATTCTGCTGTCCCCAAACCCTTATGCCCTCTATCTTTATACCCCCTTAAAATGAGGGGATATGGACATTGCCTCGACATCATTTCTGATCAGATTTATATCAAAATTTATACAAAGATCAAGTATGAGAATACCATGGGTGAGTTTGTATGTCAGAGTCCCAAATTCACTGTTGCTATTTATAAGTCAACCATAGCTATTTTGTCCATGGATTGATTGTCACAAAAGTTACGGACTTCAGGGCCAAGATCTGGTTGTCATGTCTTACAGACATTATCATTAGTTTTTAATAAGCCTATTCTTTAGTTAAGTTATTCGATGTTTCAACATGTTTGTATTCTGTGTTTTAATTTTAGGTAAATCATTTTTATTTTCAGGGCACTGATATTTCCATTTCTGATAAGGGGAGGTAAGCCGACTCCTCTGGTTCCATTTGTCCTTGCCCTTGTTTTCTGTCTTGCGAATGGTTACGTCCAGGCAGGACACCTCCTCTACCATGCAGAGTTTGGGGACAGATCAACATTTAACCCGCAATTCTACTTAGGTATTTATTTATTGGCAAACTTTAATACTGTTATCAAGGAAGTAAATTTAAATGATCTGGAAAATGTCAATTTCTCTATCATGTTTCATAGTCACCATTTAATAAAAGATCATCCCAAACTTACTGACCTATTGACAACACCAAGTTTTACATATAGAAGGGCTTTCTTCGAGGCCGAGGTTTAGGGCCAAAAGGGTTAATTTGATCATAGTGCATAAAGTTAGAAGCGATTTCTCATCTGGAACCATGTTATATGATTTTTGATTTGTTTGAAAGTTAAGGGAGTCATTGACATTAGCTGTTCTTATTGCCTCCACACTGTAACATTATTTTTTTGTAGAGTTTAAAGCTAAGTTCATGTATATTGTATACCAGTAATGATAACAGTCAGTTAATTGTTACTTTAATAACTTGCAATAATAAACGTAAAAGAAGATGGCCAAGTAGATTTTCAAGTCACTGACATTGTAAACCTAAGGTGCTTGCTTCCTATGCAATTAACTTGATGTCAACAGTGATTTTATTTTTACATTTTGCAGGTCTAGTTATGTTTTTTGCTGGAATGTTTATAAATATACATTCTGACCACATTTTGCGCAATCTCAGAAAACCAGGGGAGAAGGGATACAAAATTCCACAAGGTAAATATTTATATTATACAGTATGGCAATATGGTATTTTCTGTAAATAACATAGTCACCACGACATTTTAATATAATGCATGATCACAATTCAATGATAAATATAAGGTTTTACTTGTAAGAGCAACAATTCCTAGACTACTAAAATATTATTATTAACGTTTAATGTAATAAGAAGCTACAGCAGGTGCTTTACATACATTTCTTTATTACTATGAGTAATCCTGTTCTTGATTTAATTTTTACCAAACAGTTAATTACTTTGAATTACATATGTATACTGAGCTCATTACTGCCCATTACTGTAATTTTAGGAGGAATGTTTAAGTATGTGTCTGGTGCTAACTTCTTTGGAGAGATGTGTGAATGGTGTGGTTTTGCTGTGGCCTGTGGTACTCTGCCAGCATACAGCTTTGCTCTGTTCACTGTGTGCAATATTGGACCACGTGCCTGTCAACACCACAGGTAATAAAACAAACAAGTACAGAACCTATCATCACCACAGGTAATAAAACAAACAAATATAGAACCTGTCAACACCACAGGTAATAAAACAAACAAATACAGAACCTATCAATGCCACAGAAAAATGGATAAGAAAACCTTAATGAAATTTGGTTGAACAGGTATGAAAACCTTAATTATTTTAAATTTGGTTGAAGAAGTAAGACAAATTTAATGGAATTAGGTTGAACAGGTAAGAGATCCTCAATGAAGGTTATTTGAACAGGTGAGAGAACCTTAATGATGCTTGGTTGAACAGGTGAGAGAACCTTAATGATGCTTGGTTGAACAGGTGAGAGAACCTTAATGATGCTTGGTTGAACAGGTAAGAGAACCTCAATGATGCTAGTTGAACAAGTAAGAGAAGCTGTAATGACACTTGGTTGAACAAGAGCCTAAATAATACTTTCATGAACAGGTAAAATAAACTTGAAATTGATGGATATTTACTGTAACTCAGTATGTGTACAGGTAGAGGTTATGGAGTACAGAGATAAGATGAGTACACATGTTAAGTGAATGAGCTGCATGCTGAATGACCCAGTGGAGTGTCAGGGTCAACACTCATAGATCTAGAGCTACCCACAGTGATCTGTAAACAGTGTAATTGTGTCACACAGATAAAGAATTTAGCAGCAGTGATATTTCATTCATATCTGTCATCACTGTGAATCTATATATAGTCATGTTCACACTTCCATTTCATGTTACTGTAGAAATGTTGTAGGTCACTGTCAGATACCTATAGAAATGTTGTAGGTCACTGTTAGATACCTATAGAAATGTTGTAGGTCACTGTCAGATACCTACAGAAATGTTGTAGGTCACTGTCAGATACCTATAGAAATATTTCGTTACAAGGATTGGTAAGGCCTAACATATACTAAGCTGAACTGTGGTTATTGTTAATTCATCGTATCCATTCAAAAGTTTATAATGATAATGGTTATGTTTTGCATGATGATAATATTTCCACCAGTAAAAAAAAATAGTCCTCAGAAACTTTGAAGAATTTGTTTTATGTTGTAGATATTACCTGGAAAAGTTTGAAGACTATCCCAAGGAGAGAAAAGCTGTGATTCCATTCTTGATCTGACCTTGTTAATCTCATGTTGTTGTCCTATTACCAGTTTCTTCATACACTATACATTGGTTCTGTGATTTCATGTTACTTTATATATTTCTGCTTGATATAAAACAAGAGTTTACACCTAATGTAAAAACAGTTTCTGGTTTCTTTTATATATTACATGGCCACACTTTCATAAAATCTTTTTAACTTCAGATATTTCTTTTTGAACACTTTTATCTCACCTGGCCCGAAGGGCCAAGCCAGCTGATGTTGTAGTGCAGCTTCCTCCTCCATCATCTGTTCGTCCATCATCGGAAACCCACGTTCGATTGTACTAGCATTTATCGAGCTAGTACAATCGAGCGTGGGTTTCCGACGATGCTCCTTGTCGGGCATCAATCTTTCTCTATTAACAACCTCTCTAGAACGATTAAGCCTTAAATCATGATATTTTGCCAGTAGCATGCTGAGATGAATGGCTAGCAAGTTTGTTCAAATGAATGACCTTGACACACTTGGAAGGTCACAGGGGTCAAATAATAAAAAAAGGACTATGTATGGTTTGGGCCTTTTTTGGCCCCCAAATCCATTGAAATTAAATATCTTCAATAGAACTTTCAAATGAGTGTTTCTTTAATTTTGAATACTTCCCTGGTACTATTATGTTAACATTTATTTAGGTTTTCAGTTATGGCTGCCATGGTAACCAGTTAATATATGCATAATTTAATGAAATATGAATATTCAGTAAATTTTGGTAAAGGTTTTTGCCTAGTTTTTCTCTTAGTTACCATAGAGCGCAATCTTGAACAAACTTTATATTTCTCCTAAAGATGTATTACAGGTGCCTACACATTATCCTTTGATTTTGAGTTTGTTCAAGCATGCGCTCTACAGTTTCCAGGAGAAAAACGATGCAAAATATGACAAAATTCACTGAATATTCATTTTTTTCTAATTTATGCAATTTTGAACTTGTTACTATGGCAACAATAATAAGAAATACAAATAAATATTTTCATGACAGTGTTTGGGAAGAATTTAAAATTAAAGAAACAGTCATTTCAAAGTTCATTTAAAGGTTTTGAATTTTGATGCATTTGGGGGCCAAAATAGGCCCAAACCATACATAGTCCTTTGTTGAGAGCCTATCTAAATACGGTTTATGAAAGCACTACAATGATTTTTACTTCTGACCCTTGCAATGACCTTGATCTTTAAACTTAAAAGAGTGCTATGTGACATTTTGTGTTCATTATATGCACATACATTTTCAAAACAAAATGTCAACAATTTGGGAGCTATCGTCTACACAAGCATTACAATGATTTGACATTCGCTCGCTAGCAATGACCTTGACCTTTAGGTTATGAACATGAAATTGATTTGAAAACACACTACCTGGTCATGATAAACATATCTGTAAGGTCTCATGAGGAAATGTTCGGCCATTTAGAAGATAAAACTTAGATAAGTATTACAAGGATTTGCCCTTTGACCTCTTGTCCTGTTCCTGACCTGTAGGGTACAGACCAAAGAATGTTACATGATACTCCATCTAGTCATGGTAAACCGAAACTGGGGAATGCTGTAAGGAAAGCGTTCAGCCATATTAATGATATCGTGTAATAAGGTTTTGTGATCTGCTAGCTGACTGATAACATCAAAGCAAGACAGGCTGTTTAGATTTTTAAGTTTTTAATATTTTGGTAAACAGTCAAAAATATCCACAATCACGTTACATCATAATCACAGTCTGTTTATCAGTCACTGTACATAACACGGGAAGTATCAGTTGCAGATTAGACATAGGACACAATCAGGTGATATTTATTTGACGCAGAATTTGTTTGTCCATGTCATCATTTGAGGAAAAAACCCGGTATAAAGTCATATGTGTGCAGTAACTCTAGAATTGATACAACTGTACATTACTATAAATTATCTGTTTAGCTTTCCCCAGATCGGGTTATTTTAACCATTATTATAGATACATCCAGCCTTTATCACATGTCTCATTTAGTCAACTGGAAATTACCTACTTCAAATTATAAAACTACTATAATCTCAATATTCAATCATTGTTTTTGGTTGTGTCTTTTACTGGTAATGGAATCAGTTTGCTGTTGAGGATTTTTACTTTAGAAAAATAGATAAGAGAACTCTATCTCAAAATAATAAGTTATTCTCAGATAAGGGGGAAAAAAATATTGTTCAGCAACAGCAATGGTAAACATATTTATTATAAAAAAAAATCTATGTAGTTCATACATAAATTCATTAAACATAAAAAATGGCTGGATATATCACAAATAATGTGGCTTAACAGACAAAGAATCTCATCAGGCAACACATTTATTGTGCCTGTCGCTTACAATGACTCGACTTGATAGTCATTTAACAAATCACGTTAAGAGAAATGAAAAATAAATAAATTGCTCAAAAATCATCAATGCCACACTATAATGGCCATTAAATCAAAACAATAAAATATGGATGCAAAGATTTGTAGATTATCAGTACAACGTCGATTGGATTCTACATAATACCATGCACATTATGTACAGCATCGACACATGTACAGAAACTGAAATACCGAACACTACAACCTAATTTTATTATCTAAATTATAGTGTTGAATCTCAAAATATAGGATTTCTTTAATACAGTCAAACTTTGATTATTTGGGCTCAAACTGTTTCTGTACATATTACAAATACACTACTACATTTGTAGTCACATCGTAGCCTTGATTTACTCCGCCAAACTTAGCAGAGTGTTCAGATAAACAAGGTTTCACTGTAGACATTTGCTTGTTGGTTTTTAGGTCACCTGAGCTTTGCTGTCCCTGGGGCCAGGGTGGGGCCCCAAAGGGAAAATTAACCAAAATTTTAAAAATCTTCTTCTCCCGACTCAGAGGTACAACAGTCATTTTCTCTGCATAGATGGAAAGATCATCAGGGGCTTTATTTATATTGTAAATTTCAGGACCCAAAGCTATCCATTCTCCCTTGGGGAGGGGTAAAGTTTACTAAAGTTTATATAGGGAAACAACACTTTTCGGTATATTTGGCAATTTTCTGTAGGAAATTGTTCTTCCTTGTTGAGAATTATCCTTGGAGGAAGATGGTTTTAAAATGTAAAATTCGGATTCCTACCCCAACCCTAGGGGCCAGGGTGGGCCCAAAAGGGAAAATTAATCAATATTTCAAAAATCTGATTGATTGATCAGGAGCTTTATTGAATTTGTCAATTTCAGGACCCCTGAGCCATCCGTTGGGGAGGGGGTAAAGTTTACTTTAGTTTATATAAGGAAATAACACTTTTGGGTATATTTTATCCAATTTCAGCAGAAAATTATTCTTACTTTGTGAGAATCATCTTTGGTGGATGAGGGTATTACATTGTGAAATTGGAATTCCTGCCCCATCCCAGGGGTTAGGGTGGGGCCCCAAAGGGAACATTTACCAATATTTTAAAATTCTTATCCATTGATGACATGACAGTGGTATTGTTTTTCACTTAGTTTACATGCTGCCTTCCACATCACATCTAAACAATAAAATAAAGCTTCCAGTACCTATGATATAACTCATGTGACCGCTAAAGCTCTTGGGTCTCTTGTTTTAAATGGTAAAGCATTGTACTGAAATGAATTGTAAATGTATAACATAGCACATTGTAGGTGTATATATATAGTGTATTACATTGTAAGTGCACAGTGTAGTGCATTATAATATATATATACCATGTACATGTAGTACATTGTAAGTTTATCCAATGAAGTACAGATTTTAGTGTTCTTCATTGTAAGTACATATTTTTACAGTGTTACTGCACATCATGGAATATTTTTAAATGATTGCATACCATCATAAAAGTTAACACTAGATGCATCTCAATCCTTAAATATTGAAATATTATACTAATGTTTGTCAATCAATTGATCTTATTGTAAATCAGGGATCCTGCACTATTGACAATTTACAAAATAGCATGCTGAGACTTTACGGAATTACACATCCTGTTCTCTACCTGATTACATTTATATTTTAACATTTTCCTCTTTTTAATATAAGTGTGCAATGTACATGCAGTTTCAAACTGTTGAACATATTTTCTAGTTGTCCTATAGAGTAAACATATACCTGGTAATGGAATATCCAACCAGATAATAAAGTATGGCTCTGATGGCACAGACATACTATATTGGGTTCTCTCATTGATCACCTCCAATTCTAATACACTATGAAATCTATATAGTTCTCACTTCTAACAGATGTACAAAGATCTCATTTTTAACACATACCCCGGTAAAACCTACATAATTCTCACTACTATATAACATACACAGTTCTCACTTCTAACAGATGTACAAAAATCTCACACTTAAGACAGAGAGCCTACATAATTCTCACTACTATATATAATATACATAGTTCTCACTTCAAAACAAATATACAAAGATCTCACACTTAAGACATAAAACCTACATAATTCTCACTACTATATAATATACATAGTTCTCACTTCAAAACAAATATACAAAGATCTCACACTTAAGACATAAAACCTACATAATTCTCACTACTATATAATATACATAGTTCTCACTTCAAAACAAATATACAAAGATCTCACACTTAAGACATAAAACCTACATAATTCTCACTACTATATAATATACATAGTTCTCACTTCAAAACAAATATACAAAGATCTCACACTTAAGACATAAAACCTACATAATTCTCACTACTATATAATATACATAGTTCTCACTTCAAAACAAATATACAAAGATCTCACACTTAAGACATAAAACCTACATAATTCTCACTACTATATAACATACATAGTTCTCACTTCAAACAGATATACAAAGATCTCGCACTTAAGACATTAAAACCTACATAATTCTCACTATTATATAATATACCTAGTTCTCACTTCTAACAGATGTACAAAGATCTCACACTTAACACAGAGAGCCTACATAATTCTAACTACTATATATAACATACATAGTTCTCACTTCGAACAGATATACAAAGATCTCACACTTAAGACATAAAACCTACATAATTCTCATTACTAAATAATAAACATAGTTCTCACTTCTAACAGATGTACAAAGATCTCATTTTTAACACATACCCCGGTAAAACCTACATAATTTTCACTACTATATAATATACATAGTTCTCACTTCTAACAGATGTACAAAGATCTCATTTTTAACACATACCCCGGTAAAACCTACATAATTTTCACTACTATATAATATACATAGTTCTCACTTCTAACAGATGTACAAAGATCTCACACCTAACACAAGAGAACCTACATATGTCTCACTACTATATATAACATACATAGTTCTCACTTCAAACAGATATACAAAGATCTCACACTTAAGACATAAAACCTACATAATTCTCATTCCTATATAACATACATATATAGTTCTCACTTCTAACAGATGTACAAAGATCTCACACCTAACACAGAGAACATACATAATTCTCACTACTATATATAACATACATAGTTCTCACTTCAAACAGATATACAAAGATCTCACACTTAAGACATAAAACCTACATAATTCTCATTCCTATATAACATACATATATAGTTCTCACTTCTAACAGATGTACAAAGATCTCACACCTAACACAGAGAACATACATAATTCTCACTACTATATATAACATACATAGTTCTCACTTCAAACAGATATACAAAGATCTCACACTTAAGACATAAAACCTACATAATTCTCATTCCTATATAACATACATATATAGTTCTCACTTCTAACAGATGTACAAAGATCTCGAACCTAACACAGAGAACATACATAATTCTCACTACTACATATATAACATACAAAGTTCTCACTTCGAACAGATATACAAAGATCTCACACTTAAGACGTAAAACCTACATAATTCTCATTACTATATAACATACATAGTTCTCACTTCTAACAGATGTACAAAGATCTCACACCTATCACAAAGAACATACATAATTCTCATTACTATATAACATACATAGTTCTCACTTCTAACAGATGTACAAAGATCTCACACTTAACACAGAGAGCCTACATAATTCTAACTACTATATATAACATACATAGTTCTCACTTCAAACAGATATACAAAGATCTCACACTTAAGACATGAAACCTACATAATTTTCATTACTATATAATATACCTAGTTCTCACTTCTAACAGATGTACAAAGATCTCACACTTAACACAGAGAGCCTACATAATTCTCACTACTATATATAACATACATAGTTCTCACTTCGAACAGATATACAAAGATCTCACACTTAAGACATAAACCCTACATAATTCTCATTACTATATAACACACATATTTCTCACTTCGAACACATACAATGTATATATACTGAACATGGCTCATTGCTCGAACAAGTAACACAAAACGCTCATGGTTCTCATATAAAGATCCCTGTACCACTGCCTTGTAAATATGCATTGGATTTTTTTATTTTTTTGGGGGGGAATGACTACCTTTGATAAATCATTCCTGAAAAGAAAACTATACTTTGCATGACTATGAAAAAATAATAAGGGTGAACAGTGTTCTTAGTGAAAAAAATCAGCTAGGCTAGAACTGAATCTGTGCTTCAGACTGTATACTATCGCTCTCATCAACTGAGCTACCAAATCAACGGAGTGTCCTGGCCCAGCTGTTTTATCCGAAATAAAATGAAAGGGATCCCGGAGATTAATGCATATAGCAGTTGGACAGCGATCCTTAATTACAATGTACACAGTTTTTATTATTACTGTACTAATTAATAAAACATGCAATCATTTGATATGAACAATTTGTTCCCATTCAACCATTTTAACATTTCCACATATTTCTTGCAACAAATTCATGAAAATAAGAGGTACAATTGAGGTCTTAACAGGTAAATGGCATCAAATTGATCCATAATGGTGAGGAAACAAGCCACAGTTAGGAGAACAATACGTTTTATCAATTTCACATATAATAGTAACAAATTTTATTTCAAATTTAATTAGAAGCAAATTGATGAATAAAAGCATTCAATCAATATTTTGTTCACAGGTAAATTTATCAAGGCAAGAAATGACTGTTTGAGACATTTGAAACGGACCAAAAATAATTAACGTGTATAACTGAACAATGTATAATGGACTTGATTGCTAAGATGCGTAGTTTATGGCCTGAATATTATAGACATACTGTACAAAAAAATCAATTTAGCATGTAGTGGTACATGTGCAAGTCAATTCCAAATTTGAGCAAAATGTTCGAAAGGAATTTGGTAATCCCAAAATATGTCAAATATGTTCTGTAACCAGGAGTGATGGATTGATATACAGAATTTTGTTTAATCATAACAATAGTTACATAAACATGTTACTGCAACAGTTAGTCTTCCAGGTATGAGGTTGAAGTTCTGGTGAACTTTGTGCCAATTTTGTGCCATATCAAACAAGGTGATTACCAGCAGTGACCATCTTTGATCTAATAAGAATAGGTGTGGCCTACTACCAAGTTGGTGAAGCCTAGGTAAATGAAGCCTATACCATGAAGGTGATGCCTATACCACGTTGGTGAAGCCTAGATAAATGGAGTCTATATTATGTAGGTAAAGTTTATACCATGTAGGTGAAGCATATACCACAAAGGTTAAGCCTATACCACACAAATGAAGGCTATACCATGTAAGAAAATGTTATACCACAAATGTGAATCCTATACCATGAAGGTGAAGCCTATACCATGTAGGTAAAGTTTATACCAAGTAGGTGAAGCCTATACCATGTAGATAATGCCTTTACCATGTATGTAAAATTTATACCATGAAGGAGAAGCCTATACCAGATGGGTGAAGCCTTTACCATGTAGTTGAAGCCTATACCACAAAGGTGAAGCCTATACCATGTAGGTAATGCCTTTACCATGTAGGTAAAGTTTATACCCTGAAGGTGAAGCCTATACCACGTTGGTGAAGTTTATAACATGTAGGTGAAGCCTATACCATGTAGGTAATGCCTTTACCATGTAGGTGAAGCCTATACCACAAAGGTGAAGCCTATACCACGTTGGTGAAGCCTATACCATGTAGGTGAAGCCTATACCATGAAGGTGAAGCCTATACCACGTTGGTAAAGCCTATACCATGTAGTTTAAGCGAAGATCACCAGAACTTTAACACATAAAACAGTCTAATGTTGTAGCAAAATACTGTGTAAGAGGTTTGATCTAGGAGCATTTCATAATTGTTTTACTAACTACACCAGTATTGTCATCCGCCAAACAAAAAATCCTGGAGTCCTTGCTTGTCATACTTCTCGTACAGCAGACTTTGGAATGCTGGGACTATTGCCTGTACTTGGCCAGCAATGTCTCCACTTCTACCTGAGAGGTTTTGTCCTGTATTGAAAATCAAAGGTTCAAATTCACTAGCATGTTGATAAAGTTAAGAGTCAAAATTCAACAGTTTGTAGATACCGTTCAAATTCAAAATATTCTTGTTTCTAAATAGACAGACTCTCAAGGTCAAAATACACTGCAAGTCTGTAGAAAGTCCAAGCTGGTAAAAAATCACTGGTCTGAAGACGTTCAAGGTCAAAATTAACCAGTCTGTTTAGAGTTTCAGGTCAAATACACTAGTCAGTAGGAAGTTAAAGGTCAAAATACACTAGTCTATAGTTAATTAAAGGTCAAAATATATTAGCCTTATGATTTCAAAATAAAAAATTCACTAGTAATAGTGACTTTAAGGTTTAAATACACTTATGTCATGAGTTTAAGGTCAAAATTCACTAGTCTTTAGAAAGTTAAAGGTTAAATATACCAGTTTACTAAGTTCAGGGTCAAAATATGTTGACACTATTTCACTTGTCTTGTTGAGTCACTTTTCTGGTGATTGCTTGATTAAAATTAAATTATTACACCTACTGAGTTGTCCCAGACAAACACAAATACAAGGAATCAAAGACACATTTGAAAACAATTCTCTACCTAGGTCTGATAAAGATAAGATAGAAGTTGCTTTAATCTCCACTTGGAGGTGATATATATTAATACTTACATCTAGACTAACTACTGGGATGGTGACGGCCTTTTCTAACCAGACAACAGCCTGTACATAGTTTCTTAGTTCTATGTAGCACTGCAATAACAAAATTAATCATGCAGTGTTTGTGAATTTCAGCAGTTATCAGCATTACTATTTTCCCCTACAAAAAGATATGGTGTATAGGCTGAAGTGATTACATGTACATATGATCTTTTAACATCTCTACATTAACAAAGTCACTGACTGTTTATTAGTTATAATATTCCTCATCAAAGCAGACATTTTATTTTAAGATTGATTCTATTACCTTTGCAATAAATAACATATTTTCTTTCCATTTTCCAGGGTTCAGTCGTTCTGCCTGAAAATAAATTATTAATTTTATTTCACATGATGACATACAAACTTCTTCAATAAACAAAGTGTTTATGAGTACAGTGTAAGAGTAATCCTAAGCTGATTGTTGTAAGTTTAGGAATTAATTGCAAGGAGCTTGATACACTGTCAAATATTTATTTTACTTGTAGGAACAGTGACCTTCTTTGGAGTTGAATAGCAATTTCAGGGAAGCATATATGGCAGGCAGGAACTGGTTTCTAGCTTTGTAATAGATATCATAACCTTTCACAATTGTGAAGCAACAAACTTAGACATACAGAGAGGTATTGATACAATATCCCCCGATAGACTCCCAAAGGGATCTTTGCGTCAACTATGGGAGCCCACACATCAAGTTTGAACTTTGCATAATCATTCATTCTCAAGTTATCTGGATAACTGCAACAAAGCAGAATCCTATCTTTAACAATAGTGACTTTGACCTTTGTCAGAATAATCCAAAATTCATAGGGTTCTTCGTGTCCACTAGAGCAACCCACACCTTGTACGATCATTTGTTCTCAATATCATCTGGACAAGCGCAACCAATCAGAATTCTATTACAGCAATGATGACCCTGTCAAGACCATACCCAAAATTGTCAGGGTTCTTCACATTAATTAGAGCAACCCACAACACAAGTTTTGAACTTTGTATGATCATTCCATCTCAAGTTATCATTCGAAAAAGCTCTCCAGACAAAGGGATGTACACCCCATTTGACCACTATATCCTGCCAAATAAAATTAAGGTAATATTAACCGGGTATCGATTTGTGCAAAACCGTCAGAATCCCATGGGGCATTGGGTATGGGATGCATTTCATGAAAAATAACAACCCATTCAGGACAGGAATACTTGTAACGTTATTTAACTGATTCTGACTCCTCAGTCATTCTGAGGCCAAGGTTTTCATCTTTTCTTTTTATAACTTCACCACATCAGTTCCTAAAAATTCAAGAACAGTTCCTCTCAGAGAATTAGTCATTAGTTTCCCATGTAATAATTATGATGTTGCAAAAGTAATAAAAATAAACATTATAATTGGGAGCAAAAATTAGTTAATCAGGTTTTCAAAACAAAAATGCATACAATCCTTGACTGAAAAAAAGTCTGTTTACCTAGAAAGTGTCTGTAACATTACCTTACCTCTTGAAAGTTGAGTAAAGCCTCATCAGCGGTTGATGTAGGTGGTGCAGCATAGAGGGCAGCAGCTGCCTTCCTCTCAATCCAGGACAACATGTACACCTGTAATTATACATCATATCTACATACAACATGTACATCTGTAACTATACATCATATCTACATACAACATGTACACCTGTAATTATACATCATATCTTCATACAACATGTACACCTGTAATTATACATCATATCTACATAAAACATGTACACCTGTAATTGTACATCATATCTACATACAACATGTACACCTGTAATTATACACCATATCTACATACAACATGTTCACCTGTAATTATACATCATATCTACATACAACATGTTCACCTGTAATTATACATCATATCTACATACAACATGTTCACCTGTAATTATACATCATATCTACATACAACATGTTCACCTGTAATTATACATCATATCTACATACAACATGTTCACCTGTAATTATACATCATATCTACATACAACATGTTCACCTGTAATTATACATCATATCTACATACAACATGTTCACCTGTAATTATACATCATATCTACATACAACATGTTCACCTGTAATTATACATCATATCTACATACAACATGTTCACCTGTAATTATACATCATATCTACATACAACATGTTCACCTGTAATTATACATCATATCTACATACAACATGTTCACCTGTAATTATACATCATATCTACATACAACATGTTCACCTGTAATTATACATCATATCTACATATTTAAAACAATGTACCCCTGCCATTATCTACATAAAACATGTTCACTTGTCATCATACATTTAAGCAATGACCTACTTTCATTTGGCACCCAAAGTAATTATGAATGTCATATCAAAAATTCAAAATGACAAGTTCTATGAACTGAGCTGTAAATGATATATAACAGTAGCTGATCTATACAGTGAGGTACATATATCGTGAAAGCTTAAACTCTAACTAGATCCTCACACAACAAAAAAGTTATCAAACAGAATGACTTTCTTATTTAACTTTACACTATGAAATGTATACATATATATATATCAAAGAGTACCCATAATATGCCCGGAATCGGCAAGTACCTTCAACTGAGTACCTGTGACCAGACTCGCTATCTAACTGTGACTCAGAACCTAAACATAAACTATGATTGACTACATACTCCGAAACACCAACGGCCCAGGAGGTGGTGACTAGAGGGATCATCCGGCTTGATTTGTATAGCTCGCTCAATATGTTCCTAGAACAGGAAGGGAGATAACTCAAAAATGCATTCAAAACAATATCACAAAATACAAATTAAATATCTGTATCAACCTCAGGGAATCCATATGATTTGTTCAGTGTACGTCGTCTTATCTTATTTTATTTGATAAGTTGTTTTGATATGCAAATATTACAAACCGATCAAACTAAATCAGTTTTCCTTACAATAAAAGTAATATGTGTATCATCTATTATCAGCTGTTTACTTTGTGGTATGCAGGTTTGTTATCTATCAATCAACCTATACAATATAAACTAAACAATGTAGCAACCAACATCAATCAGAATCTATTGATCTTCCTTTATTTTACAACACAAGACTTTTTAATGGTACCAACCTTGAATACATATCCATTTTTTATTTTTGCCTGTGTTCCTTCATAATCTCCAATGCTACCCACAGTAATTGCAAACCTGAATCAGAATGGAAAATGTATTGATGTAAAATCTGGAGTATTGGGAACATACATAGAAGTGATAATACTGATTTCTACTTCTTTGTTAGAAATGCTAATAAGCTAATGTCCCATCTGCACATGTGGTTGTGCACAATGGTCATCACTTTTAAATCATATGACGTTCACTTGTAACAGACTTCTAGATACTCCAAACTACATTATCAGCCAATATTCTGCACTAATGCAAAAAAACTTCTGTTCATAACTAATGTGAATGTGAAGTCAGAGTCTAATATTAATATGTATACACTGTACAAAACCTGGTTCATTATACCAGCTACTATTACCATTTATGGGCACTGGCACAATCTTCGTTGAGTGTCAGGGCCTGGGCTGCACTGTCCTTTGCACTGTACACCATTTCCTTTTTCTTATCTTCATTGCCTACACTGCCTTCTATCTGGGCCACCTGGTACGTACACTTAGACAGGCGCCAGTGGTAGTCAGCATCCCCCAGAAACTACAACAGTAACAAGACATTATAGGTATACTTAGACAGGCGCCAGTGGTAGTCAGCATCCCCCAACAACTACAACAGTAACAAAACATTATAGGTATACTTAGACAGGCACTAGTGGTAGTCAGCATCCCCCAGAAACTACAACAGTAACAAACCATTATAGGCATACTTAGACAGGCGCCAGTGGTAGTCAGCATCCCCCAGTAACTACAACAGTAACAAAAACATTATAGGTATACTTAGACAGGCACCAGTGGTAGTCAGCATCCCCGAGAAACTACAACAGTAACAAACCATTATAGGTATACTTAGACAGGCGCCAGTGGTAGTCAGCATCACCCAGAAACTACAACAGTAACAAAACATTATAGGTATACTTAGACAGGCGCCAGTGGTAGTCAGCATCACCCAGAAACTACAACAGTAACAAACCATTATAGGTATACTTAGACAGGCACCAGTGGTAGTCAGCATCACCCAGAAACTACAACAGTAACAAAACATTATAGGTAAACTTAGACAGGCGCCAGTGGTAGTCAGCATCCCCCAGAAACTACAACAGTAACAAAAACATTATAGGTAAACTTAGACAGGCGCCAGGGACTACGACAGTTGACACAACATTATAGGGGTTGTATAATTTGAAAGGTGCCAGTGGAAGTCAGTATCATCCAGATAATTCAACAATCAACATGTTGTTCAATATACAACAGGTACACTTAGGTAGCATCATCAATGACATTTGTATACAATAATAATTTACCTGTGATTTGTGTTTAAGGAGAAGAGTGTAGGCATTTTGTTTGTCATCATCTCCCCCCTCCAGAAGCTGATCTACTTGCTCGTAAACTTGGACTTTCTGTTCATCGACTGACTGTTGTCTATTTGTCTGCCCTGGTGCAATATCCTCCGCATTTAATTCCCGAAAGGACTCTACAAACTCTGGATCACTTGGCGAACTAACAGTTCCTGACCTGCAGAAAACCAAATTTGCCTAAACGATGAATTTTAACATTTCACAGTACACAGTCAAATTAATATTTGGCAGTGATGAAGCCTAACATAAATGTGCTTCATTTATTGGTATTTGACTTATGAATGCACTGGTGGCTGGTGGCTACAACAGATTCAAATTTGTAAATTTCTCTTGTACCGTTTCCATTTTTTATGACATTTGCAGTCTATGAAAACTGGATGGATCAAAAGCTGCATAAATGCAAAATCAGAAAAAAAATCCATTTAATCAAATATAGTCTATAGGTTAACATGTAACAATACAAGAGGCACAGAGGGCCTGTATCACCTGTTTCTTTTGTTACATGAAACTGACATATAGGTAACTTCAGACCAAATTTGGTAACTAGAACACAAGACATTTTAACATCTCTTAAACGCTTAAGATATTGTTGTTTGAAATTTGAAATTGTAATTTTAAAGCTTTTAACCCGCGTTGACCTTTGACTCCGGCTAGCACTTAAAGTTGACATTTGACCTCATTACTGTGAATAAGAAAAAGATTTGCACTGCTGGTCTACATAACATACCAAGTATCATGACTCTAGTCCAAATGGTTCTTAGGATATTGTTGTTTGAAGTTTTGAACATATTTGCCCCGATCACCTTGAAACTAGATCAAGGTCATTTTAATTAGGAAAAACTTTATAGCACTCCATCCCAGGTACCTACTGGTAAAATATCATGACCCTGGGCCTTATGGAACTTGAGAAGAAGACTGTTAAAGCTTTTAACACATGTTGACATTTGACCACTGACTAGCACTTAAAGTTGACCTTTGACCTCATTACTGTCATAAAGAAAAAGATTATTAGCACTGCTGGTCTACATAACATACCTTAGTATCATGACGCTAGTCCAAATGGTTCTTAGGATATTGTTGTTTCAATTTTTGAACATATTTGACCTCTGTGACCTTGAAAGTAGGTCAAGGTCATTTTAATGAGGAAAGTTTATAGCACTCCATCCCAGGTACCTACTGGCCAAATATCATGACCCTAGGTCCCCCAGTTCTATAGAAGAAGTCGTTTAAAAGAAAAAGTTGACGGACGGACGCCGGAGTACGGCATAAGCTCACATGGCCCTTTGGCCAGGTGAGCTAAAAAGCAAAATGTTTGCTCTTTTTTTTTTGCTCTTTTTTTTGTCCATAGGGAAGTGAAGGTACAAGTGAAGTGCATTCAACCAAAACTTACAATGACAGTTTGCAATCTCAAAAGAGTCTGTCAAAGTCGAGGGAGCTCCAAACCTTTCAGGCTTTCGGAATATCTCTAGTGTAACAGATATGATTGGTACTCTTGGCTGGCGCAGCCTGTCAGATCGTAGGAAAGATGCACGCCTAAAGATGTTCCATAAAATTCATCAGGGCACAGTGGCCATATTCATGACTGACAAGATGCACAGAGCCAGAAGAATTCCTAGAAATTCCCACCAGGTCCAATTCCAACAGCAATACTCGAAAGCACTAACTAGACAACAATCATGTTTTCCTCGTACCATACTAGACTGGAACAAATTACCATCTGACATTGTTAATGCACCCACTTTCAACTCTTTTNGTACTACAGATTCAAAGTGTCGGAGAGAAGAAAAAACAATACATAAATTATGTACCCTCCATATGCGTCTTCAAACATTTCATCGTCGTCGTCCCCACTGCTAGCGTGAACAGAATAGAACCCTGGACTACGTCGACGCTTCTTTACAGATTCCAGCTGTTGCTGGAGTGCTTTCACCTCTTGTTTCAGTTCACTGATGGACGCAGACAGCCGCTGGATTTCGCGGAGAAATGTCCCAGTTATTTTCAAGTAAAGAATTGTTCCACCTAATCCAATGAATATACCTGTCCCCAGAGCACCAAAGAAGGGTGAATTGGGTCGCAGAAAGGAGGACATTCTGAAACTGAAGAGCCAAAAACGAAACGAAACTACAGAGGGTCTAAAAATTGTAGCCCTACGTACCACCACCACAGCAGACTCTTATAACCGGAAGTAGATAACTGTCACATGTAGCGCCATCTGTAAATAAACAATAGTAAATGTGGTGTACGGTGTAGTATTTTCATGGCTTGAATGCAGCCTTTTAGATTTATGAATAGTTCATTTTGAATACCGATACTGGTAACATTTGATTTATGATCTAGGATAAATATAAGCTTTTGTTAAATTGTTTGTGTCCATAAGCTTAAATAAATGGTGTCGTTAGGAATATACACAACTCAATTAATTAGCAAGCGCACATAACTCTCAAGTCTTTATAACTTCCGGTCATCTGTCAAATTTGATGTCAAAATGCCTCATATTCTTATCAGCACTCAGATTCGTCTGGTAATTCAATTTCATTTCGTCAATTTGATACGGGCATAGAAAACATACTTTTTATTCCTTTTCATCATTTCCGTTCGCGCTAAAATGAAAATATTTGATAATATTTGAGAAAATGCAATTAATGTACAGGTGTGCCTAGCCGTTTTATTGAACCAAATTGCAAAATTATACTGATTATATATGTCTATCAATAATTCCATTCGGGATCCATGCAATCACAAGGGCTTGTATATATTTGTAACAGTTATATGCAACACATAAGTCTAGACATAGCATTATTTTAGTTCTTATAATATTTTTGTATAAACTTTAAGCCCCTGTGATACATATTTGGTGAACAATAATATAGCAGTCATTAACGGATTGATAAATATATATGAATTTCTGTCTAGCAATTTATTTTGCATTATGATTTTCTGTTTAAATTGAAACATTATAATGATAGATGAAACACATTCATGTTCTACCTATATACATAATTTGTATGTTTCTGAACAGTGAAGAAATGGATAAATTCATCATCCATGTGTCAAAACATAAGTGATGTCTTTTTGAATGACACTAAATTAATTATTTGTCTTGTTATTTTTAGGAGAGTGGGCCAACGGTCGTTGGAGATGAGTGGAGTGATAAATCGCTGATGGAACATCTTGGCGCATCCTTGATGAAAACACTTGGAAATAATTTGTATGCTTAATTAAATTGAGCTGGAACACCATTTTACAAATGTTTATAGCAAATTACTCGTACAAGGCTTTCTTAAAAGAAATTGATAAAATTCTTTGGTCTGAGTTAAATTTTCTTCCCGGCCTTGCTTTTTCAAACTTGTTTTTTTTATTGTTCAAATGAATTTCTAAAAAGTCTGCAGATCACCAAATCAAAACAGTTTTTCACAATTATATTGCTAAAATTCCCATGGACAAATAATGGAATATATACATGTTTATGATGGACATGAAAGTTTCAAAAGATATATTTAGATTTTGAGAGTGCTTTTTACCAAAATTAAACTTTGATTCAGTCTGTGATTATGTCAGATAATTCAAAATTATTAAGTTCTTAATATGAATTATCGTTGTTTTTACAGTATGGAGTACCGGACACCTGATCCTCCGCGTGTGGTTTTGGATAAGCTAGAGAAGTTAAACTACCATGTTGTGGCAATGACTGGTGTGGGTCAGACCTGTATTTGGACACTCCAAAAACCTGAACTTCAGCTAAATATCTGAAGCCTACTAGGCTAAACAACATAGAGACAAATACATATTCAGCCAGAAAACTATAACAGAAGACTGGCAGCATTATACTTTCATGTTTTTATGGGACCCGACATATTCAAGTGCAAGATTTTGCCTGATACAAACAATGCAAAGCTGTAGAAGACACAGTAACTATTTTTGTTTAGACAAGAAACATGTTAATGTCAAAAACCTAAATATAATCAAGTGTGAATACATGTATCATTAATTTCATTGATTGTGTATAATCTCTATGTTGGAACATAATTTTGAGATTAAGAAAATTGGCCATGTGTGTGGTTTATTATTTATACAAGTGTTCAAGTATTATGGTATGATATATTCTTACTTCATAGGCAGTGCAGCTTACACAGGCAGAAATAACAGCTTTAAATTATTGTTATGTCTAAACTGATACACAATGATGCTAGATGTATCCAGATAGTATTTTGTATTTCATGAATGTCAAACAATTCTTCTATGATGACACACAAATGATCATGCCCGTGACTTTTATGATGTGGTGTGCAGCAAGTATGTAACTATGGAATCTGAAATTAGAGTAGTTGGCCACCAAGATTTCTGAATGGTGGACGTTATATCTAGCTCAAATTCTGTTGGTTGTTTATGCATGTAGATGAAACTTAACAGGAAATGATTAACGGGTACATTAAAGCCTTTGTATACAGAAAAAAAAAGTTTACTGAAATGGATTCAAATAGGGTTGCAAAGCCTTATGATTGGTTGATATAATATATATAAACTATAATTCAAATTATGACGGTCGCTTTTTGATGAATTTACATGAATTAATGACAGTATTATAGTACATGTACAACCTAAATATGAGTAAATGTAGATGTTCAGTCAATCTTATTGTGGTGTAATGACATCGTGGTGGAGGTGATGTTTATGTTGAAGACATGGTGTACTGTAAGTAGGTGTGTGAGAGAGGTAATGTGATGAGAGTGACAAATTAAGTTATTTATGTGTAGGTATGTGATATTAGATCTGAAAACATAATATATGTGTATTTTTGTTATTATTTTTAAATTCTGTGTAAAGGCATTGCATTGTGTATGTGTACTATTTTACATGGTGTTTGTAAGAAAAATCATACACTAGAAATAAATTAGAACATTTCAAATCAAATTTGTGTTACTAGTTTCATTTCACTAACATAAATATCAAGCACAGGTTTAGAAGAACTCGGTGTATCATGCAAAAACCTTGGTGCTGAATGCTGTACCACAGAACATCTGACTCCTCTATAATATGTGGCTTGTGTAGGGCATGTCTTCTCCAAAAAAAGTTTGCATGACTTGTCTATAACATCAGATTTGTTTATAACACACTATTTGTCTATAACATGACTTATCAATAACACAAGGCATGTCTATAACATGACTTATCAATAACACAAGGCATGTCTATAACATATGATTTGTCTATAACATGACTCGTCAATAACAGAAGACCTGTCTATAACATCAGATTTGTCTAAAACACATGACTTGTCAATAACACTTGATTTTTCTATAAAATAATATTTGTATTTAACACATGATACGTCTAAAACACATACAAATGTACCTTGTCTATAACATGTGATTTGATTTATCTATAACCTATGACTTGTCAAGAACACATGATTTTTCTATACCACTTGCTTCATCTGTAAGACATAATGTGTCTATACACACTTGATTTGTCTAAAAGACGGACGTGATCATAACTTGTCAATAACACTTGATTCGTCTATAACCCATGCTTTGTCTATACACACTTGATTTGTCAATAACATGACTTGTCTATAACACATGACTTGTCTATAACACATGACTGGTCTATAACTCATGACTTGTCTATAGCACATGACTTGTCTATAACACATGACTGGTCTATAACACATGACTTGTCTATAACACAGAACTGGTCTATAGCACATGCCTGGTCTATAGCACATGACTGGTCTATAACACATGACTTGTCTATAACACATGACTTGTCTATAAAACATGACTTGTCTATAACACATGACTGGTCTATAACACATGACTGGTCTATAACACATGACTTATCTATAACACATGACTGGTTTATAACACATGATTTGTCTATAACACATGACTTGTCTATAACACATGATTTGTCTATAATACATGACTGGTCTATAACACATGACTTGTCTATTACACATGACTTGTCTATAACACATAACTTATCTATAACACATGACTGGTCTATAACACATGACTTGTCTATAACACATGACTGGTCTATAACACATGACTTGTCTATAACACATGACTTGTCTATAACACATGACTTATCTATAACACATGACTGGTCTATAACACATAACTTATCTATAACACATGACAAGTCTATAACACATGACTTGTCTATAATACATGAATGGTCTATAACACATGACTGGTCTATAACACATGACTTGTCTATAACACATGCTTGGTCTATACTACATGACTTGTCTATAACACATGACTTGTCTATAACACATGACATGTCAATAACATGACTTTTTTATAACGTGATTTTTCTATAACGCATGACTTGTCTAAAACACATTACTTGTCTACAGTATAACACATATGACTTCATGGAAAGGGCTTCGTATAAGTTTGTGCCAAATCCCATTGCTTATACAAATAGGCAAAAATATATTTTTAAATCAAATCAACACATGTTTTGTCTATAAGAAACGATTTGTATAAAACATGACTTGTCTATAACAAACGATTTGTATATAACATGACTTGTCTATAACAAACGATTTGTATGTAAGATGACTTGTAAATAACTCATGGCTTGTCTATACTAAACGATTTGTTTATAACATGACTTGTCTATAACAAACGATTTGTATATAAGATGACTTGTAAATAACTCATGGCTTGTCTATACTAAACGATTTGTTTATAACATGACTTGTCTATAACAAACGATTTGTATATAACATGACTTGTCTATAACAAACGATTTGTATATAAGATGACTTGTAAATAACTCATGGCTTGTCTATACTAAACGATTTGTTTATAACATGACTTGTCTATAACAAACGATTTGTATATAACATGACTTGTCTATAACAAACGATTTGTATATAAGATGACTTGTAAATAACTCATGGCTTGTCTATACTAAACGATTTGTTTATAACATGACTTGTCTATAACAAACGATTTGTATATAACATGACTTGTCTATAACAAACGATTTGTATATAAGATGACTTGTAAATAACTCATGGCTTGTCTATACTAAACGATTTGTTTATAACATGACTTGTCTATAACAAACGATTTGTATATAACATGACTTGTCTATAACAAACGATTTGTATATAACATGACTTGTCAATAACACATGACTTGTCAATAACACATGTATAACATGCGATTTGTCTATATTATGTATCCTTCAAACTGCACGCGCAACCTACACAAACACTACTGTGTGTACAGACTTCAGAACACTTAAAATTGATAATTTCGTTTTACTTTTCAGCATTTTTACCCTTGTGACTTTGCGGATATTTAAGATCGTTTCATCCCAGGTACCTGCCAATTATCATCAACATACAGGTAGGTATTAAATTCTGAAAAAGGATGATTTCAAAGAAAAAGAATGGTATAAGGGCCAATGTCACAAACTGGATTGAAAGTTTCCTGGTTGGTAGAACCCAGACAGTAGTAGCTGACGGTGAGAAGTCTGACTCTGCCATTCTGAAGTACCCCAGGGATCAGTTCTTGGACCCAGCTTATTCCTCTCTTTTTATACTAAACTAGAACTCATTTAATCAATTATTATAACTTACATTGACATATATTAGAGCATGTAGATCAGGCTAAGTATCTGGATGTCGCACTACATTCTGACCTCAAATGACTCCCACATAAGCAAATATTTGCGCCAAGGCAAATTCCACCTTAGACTTCTTGAGATGAAATCTTAAAATTGGCTCAATATCAGCCAAAGTGCAGACATATATATCACTACCGTATTTTACCGCCAATAAGCCCCTCCTGAGAGAAAAGATGGGCCAAAAGTTGGGAGGGGGCTTAATGGCGAGCAACCCCCCTGTTCACAAATGTCCGCCATCTTGGATATATACCACTGTTTTGATATATGAACACACTAAATACCATGTACTTGTCCACTGTAGTTGTTCATGTTGTTAAAATAACAACTAACAGACAGAATATTTTTATAACAGTCACAAAAACTTGGTGCTGTTGTTTTTCTTAACTTATTTTCTATCATCAATTTGTCTCGATAATTTAATTTTTCCAAACACAATTTTTATATTTTATTGATAAGTCAATCAGTACTCTTTAAGACATAATACCAACATTCAGAGGTGTAAAAAATTAAAAGCACCACGACCAGGCTCTCTGGTGTTTGGCTAGTGCCATTACATGATTTAAATATATACCGTACTATGAAGAAATTCGAGCATATACAAGGCTTAATTAACACAAAACCATTGTTTTAATCATACAAAAACAACACAAGAACTTATCTGTATGCAGGTTGCAAGCATTATGAGCAAGAGACATGTTTTATGGATAAAAGTCTTCCAAAAAACGATGTCCAGGAGCCATTTTTGATGACAACTGTATTGGTTGATACAAATTTCATAAAAAGGGAACGCCTGCAAGGAAAGCAAAGCATACTACTGGCAATGGAAGGGAAATGGCAGACCAGTGGAACCAGACAATGTTTTCTATACAAACATGAAAGATGCAAAGAAGAAACTTAGGCAGTGTCAGCGCCAGGCTGCTGCAACGCAACGTAAAATGAGGTATAAGGAAATAATGGAGGCTCATGAGTGACCTACTTTTAATACACGACAAACCGCCTCACCAAGGTGAACCTATACACCAAGTATGAAGTTCCAGTGACTAGAATTGTAGGAGATAGAGCCAGGACAAACTTTTTCTTTGATGTAGGTCAAAGGTAAAAATATAGGCCAGAGTGACCTACTTTTGATACATGACACACCACCTCACCAAGGTGAACCCATACCCCAAGTATGAATTTCCAGTGACTAGTAGTGTAGGAGATAGAGCCAGGACAAACTTGTTCATGAAGGAGACCAGACCATCTTTTATAAGCTGATAAAAGAACAACGGAAAGATGGAGCTAAAAATACATCCCATCTGATTGTTGATGGACAGTCTCTTAAAACGACAGACGATATTAGGCAAGGATGGGCAGAGTACTTTGAAGAACTAGCAATGTCAGAACCCGGCAGGGCAGTAATATGGACAAGTCATTTAATAACCACGTGGAGCTCGATCGCATACTGCTAGAAGACCTATGCAAGTCACAACCTGGTCAGAAAATATATCTAGATGAAGAAAATGTAAAAGATGCCAGTCCCTGAGAAAGACGATGAACTTTTTGACATCTCATCCTTCAGTGCAGATGAAACAGTCCAGCTGTTACTTGACAGTAATTCTCACCCGCTGATATCAACAGATGGTCGTACAGCAGTATAACTTGCCTAGTGCTCACGACATACTGGAAAACCCTATTGGAAAAAACTGACGTGGAAAAAAAAGTGTACCAGGCTGTAAATTCACACTGGGAAAGAACACTACAGGAGGATGCAAAAGGAAAGACGAGCCTGAAATATCTGGACGTGGACCAGCTAACCATCGGTAGAGTACATAGCACATGGGAGTCTGCTGGAACAGAACCAATGACAGTTTCTTCTTTGCATCTTTCATGTTTGTATAGAAAACATTGTCTGGTTCCACTGGTCTGCCATTTCCCTTCCATTGCCAGTAGTATGCTTTGCTTTCCTTGCAGGCGTTCCTATTTTCTGAACTATCTTCAATTGATTTGAACCTATCTTCAATTAATTGTACCTTTCTTCAATAACAGTATCGTTTTTAAGTTTACATCTGACGTTTTTTAATATGTTTTTTGATTTTAGCGAGCTGCAAGAAAATTGGTTTGAGCACAGAATCCATGAATCGCCGAAGAAGGCCGCTCTTCTGTAGAAGACATGTATTTCAGAGAAGGTCTCTGTTCTATAGAAAAAAAGTTTTCTAGAGAAGACCGAACCCGGGTTTTCATACCAGGGAAGATTTCTGCTCTAGAGAAGACACGCGTGA